TCTTAATACTGCTATTAATATCATTGACATTATGATTATTACAATGCTATATAAATACTTATAGCAAATAAATCAAAAAGAATCCTCCCCCTAAATCAAAGAAAAGGGTAAACAGGTGAGATGGTAAGGGCTAGGAATTGACTTCTTGGAGAATAAGCACCTGTGGAGCCATTTGTGTGTAATTTCAATCAATAAACAAATATCCTAGTGAATATGGTGTGTACTAACTGAATGCTGCTGGGAAAATGCAGTGCTCATTTTCAATATTTTTGGGGAAATGTCTGTGCACATAGATGGCTCTGTTAGTGCTTAGCCACGTAGGAGTCAATTAGTAGACCTTGTGACCTAACCTGATTTCACCTTTCCTTGAATTAGCAGGAAAAACAATTTTTTTTACTATTGCTATGAATATTGACGGTGTTATTTTTATAATAGACATTATAACTACTATAATGTTATTGACATTAGTTACCTGCAATATCAGATAAAAAAAAAAACAAGGAAAAGGGTAAAGGGGCAAGCCAGGCAGTACTCGTAATTGGCTCATTGGTGACTTAGTACAAGTGTAGCCATCCATGTGTAAAAAGAATTAATAAAGTACATACATGCCATGTCCATTGGATTTGGGTTAACATGCCATTCAAGATGGCACGTTATACACGCAAGAATTAGTTCAAACAAAGCTTGTTTTTATACTACTTCTGATTTCTTCATTTTTTCCTCTTGATATTTCTCATAACCATTCAAAGGAATAATGAAATAATAACAGTAAATAAGCAGATATGACAAAAAAAAAGTAGTGAAAGTTGCCTCTGTCTGTCTTACCTGGGCTGTGAACAAGATAGTGGATCCAACCAGGTGACTGCTGAACCCCAAGGTTGCGCCATTCTGTTTCTGTCATGAGGTGCGTCTTTGGCACCAGTTTTGCCAGGTCACTTGGGAGTATCACATGTCTGAAAGATAAGGAGAGAATTAAGCATGATGAATTAAGTTATTCTCAATGTTCTCACTGGCATAAAAATGGCACTTTAAAGTAATTATAACTAATTATCTGTTGACAGCAGGACTAAACAATTACATTCTGTTGCCCTATGCAAAGGCATATTTTTAAATGGATATACATATATATATATATATATATATATATATATATATATATATATATATATATATATATATATATATATATATATATATATATATATACATATATGTATATGTGACTGCGGTGATAGCTCAGTGGTTAGAGCACTGGACTCCGACCCTCGTGGTCCTGGGTTCAATTCCCCGTCATGGCATTCGTAAAAATGCCTGCGCTCTGACTGCTGACTCGAGCCTGAGAAAACGACATATTGGCTTGAGAAGTCAAACGCAGGTGTCGTAGGGGAAGCCACCGCCGTGGCACAAGTGTTAACACGCCGAACCGCGGTTGATTAGAAAGGGCATTCAATCAGGCAAGGGTGACACTGCCATATAACCTCTCAATACTGAATTGAGAGAGGCCTATGTCCTGCAGTTGAATGAATGGGTGTCAAAAAAAAAAGAAAAAAAAAATGTAAATGTATATGTATATGTATGTATATATATATGTATATGTATGTACATGTATGTGTATGTATGTGTATGTATGTGTATGTATGTGTATATATGGGTATATGGGTATATGTGTATATATACGTATATACAAGTATATATAAGAATAATGTATTTATACTTATACATGTAATCATATATATACATGTATTCATACGTATTTATATATACATATGTATATATGTATACATGAAGAAAATATAAGTATATAAATATGTATGTATATATATATGGAATGTATAATATACGTGTGTGTGCGTGTGCGTGTGTGCGTGCTTGTGTGTGTGTGTGCGTGTTCATGTGCATGTGCGTGTATCCAGAGCTGTGGAGTTGATACTCCGACTCCTTGATTTCTTGTGAATCCAACCACAACAATGAGGGTCTTTTTCACATTTCCCCAGCCAAGCAAAACAAACATGAGATGATAACCAAATAAAGGTCTATATGCAGGATATTTAATTGTGATATTTGTTACAATAAAATAGTTTATGGATAATGCAAAAATGACTAGCAATACGCAGTTTAGAGTAATTAGTTTTTTATTCGATTTAAGAAAGGTTCACAAAATATAATCATACACTTAACAAAATAATGACAGTAATGACACTTATTAATTGTAGACAATAATCAACAAAGAAATTAAACACTCCGACGATGACAATTATAGTTTTTAATGTATTAAGAGAAAATAGAGACGAAAAAAAAATAGTTGCATCCAAGAAAGCGGGTTTTTTTACCTAAATCTAGCAACTTACACTTAAATAACACGTATATTTATGATCTACGAACTTACCTGTACTCATATTTATCATCGTTGTACTTCTCCGAGTACTGGATCTGGTCAGTTTTCATGATTTTTTTTTTATTAAGAGATTCCTCGGCCGCCGCGACTGGACTTGAGTTTGAACGTACATAAACAACAACAGAAAACGAGCTTATTTTGATTTAATATTTAGTAAGTGTTTTATTGGTTCTATTTTATCAGATGGGATTATGATATATTCTATGTTTACTTTAGAGTATTTTTGGTTCTTGATATGGAGAGATATGTTAGTATAATTCAATTATATATGGGAAGGTTTGAAGCGTCTGGCATTTCAAACAAACGAGCTTATTTTGATTCAATATCTAGTAAGTGTTTTATTGGTTCTGTTTTATTAGGTGTGATTTTGAAATATTTTTTTGTTCAATTTAGAGTGTTTTAGGTTTTTGATATGGAGAGATATGTTAGCATAATTCAATTATATATGGGAAGGTTTGAGGCGTCTGGCATTAAGAAAAAATCGAGCATCGCTTTGCGCAAAATTATTTTGATATATATCTTTCTCATTGTCTATTCTTAATATATCTTCCTTTATATTTTCTAGTATATATAATGTATTTTATAATCGGCTTCATAAATATACACATACATTATTTTAGCATATGTTATGATGAATTAAATCACGCATGCTTTCAGTCTATAATTGCAATGATTACGTAACTAGAAGCAAACGGAGTCGTTAGCGTTAGAAATATAACAACGAAAAAAAAAAATAAATGAAGATACTGGAAGAAAGTAGAGACAATAGTCTCTTAGAAATGACAAAACGAAAAGGCTTTTATCCCCCTTTCTATATCGTAAAAAAAAAATCCTTACAACCTAATGCCAAATTTATAAGTTCAAGTAAAAAGTTTTTTTAATATATACATTGCTCTAGGCGTGCAATACACAACGCAGGCAGCTCCAGCAAGACAAAAAAAAAGAAAAAAAAAAGAGAGAAAAAAAAAAAGTATGTAGTGTTTTATCATCATTTTCAGTTATTAGATATACATCCATCAATAAATATGTATAGTATTTCCCTAAATAACATGTAATTAGTCCTCTACACTCAACGACTATTCTACCAACAAGAAATATACCATGAGGCTTTTTTTCTATTCTGAGACTAATATTCTATTCATCATAAAGTAAAGTACCCGACATGAAATCCACTTAAGAGAACGTCATAGGCTACGAACGATAGTTGTTCTATTAAGAATATATATCCAACTAATACTCCTATTTTAGAATCACCATCGATATCGTTATCAAATCTATTATAATACAATTAATACTAACACTTTTTTGTAAATTATAGATGAAGTAAAAACCTTATATCGAATAAAAATGTATAATTATTAAAACCTAATAGCACGATCACTTCAAAAAAGCGAAGACTCATAAAGCACAACAAGGAACGCGGTCTTTGTTTACCTTCTTGGTGTGTGTGTCGTTCAAATTACATTTATTTTCTCATTTTTAAAGAGTGACAGAGTAAGTTCATTAAACATTTTAGTGTAAGAAGGTATAATTCATCGAAATGATTGCATATAAATGGAAAATTAAAGTCGTAAGTTGCGTAAATCAGAGAAAATGGTGTTAGTATTTTTTGGCATTGCAATGGAATACCTTCGAATATTTGCAAATTGCAGAAGTATGAAATTTGCATTAATTTAAGTGCATTGGTATTTTATATTGTCGATTTTTTTTCAGGATTTGTAATGCTTAGATAGTGTACATTAGTTGATATTCTTGATTTGATTGTTAAATTGCCTTCAAGATTGTTTATTTTAGTTCGGAAATTTTCCAACTTTTTGAAAAAATATTTATTTTTATGTCTTTTTTTTTTACTTCATCCAACAAGTGATGGTTTTGGAAGTATGGAAATTCACAAGACATTTTTATTTATTTATTATTTCTCATTTTCGAATACCAAATTTTTATTTCTATTTGACTATATTTTTTTTTTAGGCTGTGGCTACTTTTACGGTGTCATAATTCAATGGCTATTTAATTTATTTCAGGGAATTCTGATATAACTAATTGATTCTGATTTCTAATTTACTATATTTCAGGGAATTCTGATTTAATTAATTGATTCTGATTTCTAATTTACTATATTTCAGGGAATTCGGTCACGTGTGCACAGTGTGGAATTCTCAGACTCAGCTTTAATCACAGAACGGAATCAGTCTCTATATTTTCTAGTGAAGGCGCTGTCCCCCCCTGTGACCTATCTCCCGGGGGGATTGTCTAACCCCCCCTCCCCCCAGGGAATCAAAGAATCCGCAACATATTAACAGCAGAGGAAAGGATTGGACAGTCTCAGCATCAGTCTCTTTTGTCGGTTGTGTGCTCTACCTTGCCATGGATAGAGCGAGAATTCCACACTATGCACACAGGACCGGAACTCCTATAGAACTATTCAATAGACATTGCATTACATTACCGATTATATAGTCACTTCAATATTTAATAAAAAAAGAGTTAGTCATTATTTAGTTTTTAAGAATCATAGGCCTAGGTAAGGGTTGTGTTGATAACTTAGGTGTTGGCCGGAAAAGTATTTATAACATTAATAAGGATAATGAAAATAACTGTAATGATAATGATGTAGGGGTAATAATAATATTAACTGCAATAATGATATTCATAATGATAACAGTAACAACAAACATTAGATTACACATTTCTTATTGACATGTTATTTTGATTTCAGATTTAGGACCAAATTTACAGCTGCGATGGTCTTTTATCTCATTGGTCTTGGACTGGGCGACCCCAGTGATGTGACCGTGCGAGGCTTGGAGGTCATTAAGAAATGTGCACGAGTCTACCTTGAGGCCTATACTTCCATCATCAGCGGAGGAAAGGAGGGGCTGGTAAGCAAAGACTTTGTGAATCTTTCTTCTATAGGCTTATAGGTCTGAATTTGTTAGAGAGAATGGTAAATTGGCTGTTTTTTTCTCTCTTTTTTTTATCATTTATAATATTTCTTTTCTTTTTTTGTTGTTTTAAGCAAAGTAAGAAGGTGGCTAATGATTTTACTACTATGTCCCATGATGTCACATTAGTAGGACCAGTATATACTTATGTGTAGGTAAAATTTTGAAATTATAGGAACATGAAATGAAACATTCTTGTGTTATTAGTCATAAAGAATAGTTTTATAGTCATTCACTCCAGAGAAACATGCCAATACCTCAATAAACAATATCATTTTTTATCTTTCAGGAGAAATTCTATGGGCGAGAAGTGATCCTGGCAGATCGGGAGCAAGTAGAACAAGCATCTGACGATTTATTTGCAGGTGCCGAGACCGGAGATGTGGCTCTGTTGGTGGTGGGGGATCCTCTGGGGGCAACCACGCACACCGACCTCAAATTACGTGCACACCAGTTAGGAATACCAGTTGAGGTGAGGAAAGGATTAAAAAATGAATGAATTTTGACTCTATACATATGAGCTCCTGTACAGTTATATCTATCTTTAATCAGATGAATGACAAAATGTAATGTAGAAAACTTCATGAATTTCTGATGTATTTTCATAGAGAGAATATGCAATACCATTTATAATGAAGACTTCAGAAGTCATGATTATACAGATGAATTTTCTAGGTAGCAAGATGTTTTTTTATTGATATATAATACAAAAAAGAAAGCAAGGTAGATGTTTAGAAGTTACCCAAACTGTCTTTCAAAATTGGGTTAAGTAATGGTATGAATTAAGACTGCAATTCTTGCTTCCACTTCTTACTTTGTGTGGAATATGTTTTATCGGTAATAGACTTGTTTTATGTATTTTTTGTAGCCATTGCTTTAGTTTTATCTCAACTCCCTTAACCCAATGACGCCGGGTGTACAAAAGAAAAAAAAAACTCTACGCTCTGGCAAACAAAGGCGGCGCGCCGACTTTGAGCGCCGGAGTACGGGGCGTCAGCCCGAATCACTGGCTCGCCGCGCTTTGGCGCGCCGCCGGCTGGTTTGGCCGCACGCCAGCTTTCAAGCGATTTGTTTACACGCCGATCGGCGTCACCCGGCGGCAAGGGGTTAATTATATATTAATTGCAATTTTTTTGAGTGTTTTATCTAGAATCTTGTTGTGATCTGATGGTTGGCCCACACTGAAGGCTAGCACAAAAGGGGTGGAGATTTAAGTAATCACCATAGCCTTTGCATAACAGCAAAGGCCAACAAACTCCACCATGTATATTCTGGCAATAGAACTGATTCCATAGTTGCTGATAAGTCCCCAAGTTTTATCTTGTTAGAGTATATGTAGTGGTGGCTTGTTGGCCTTTGATAGATTGCTGACAGGCATGGAGGTTGTGCTGACCAGCATGAAGTCAGTGGTGGAAGCACAGGTGTCTAATAGATACCTATCAAAAGTCATGAGATTAGATTAACCCATTAATGACAGGAATTGCCATTTAATCTTGCCATGAGGCACCAGGCCCAAATGTCAGGGGGCAAGTATCCATGTGCTTATGGTCAAGTCAAAACCACTTCATGTATTCAATACATTCATTCATGTGTTTAATACTTTGATGCTTTCAATTTTTTGCTCAAACAACCAATTGCACACACTGCTTGTTATATGGCTTAGCTTTTATGTACCTTGTTGTTGAGATAAGGTACATAAAAAGGATAACAGTTCTCATTAACCCATTCGCCACGGATTTATGTTCTGTCCCCTGTTGGTTTTGGTGAATTTTGCTACCTACAGATGGCTCCACATGTACTCAGCCGGCAAGGAGTCTATCAGTAGGCCCTAGTTACCGACCCTGATTTTCCCATTCATTGAATTGGCGGGAAAATTAATATCATTGCTTTCGATGCTGTTATTATTGTTACTGATGTTATGATGATTGAATTGTCATTAGAATATTTTTGACAATAAGATGATACAAAAAACCCTTTCCGAAAGTGAAGGAAAAGGCTAAACAGGTGAAATAGGTAGTTCTTGATAACTGGCTATTTGGTGATTAAGAACTTGTAGAGCCATCTAGGTGTAAATACAATAAATAAACGTGTATCAAAGTGGGTATGGCATCTATTCTTGCCAACCGCGGCGAATGGGTTAATAAATATACATATAAACTA